ATGTGTATTAAGTATGGCGTCGGTTTCACTCATTTTAAATTAGTTAATTTGTGTTTGCCTGCAGAGAAATACTCCATATATAGTAAATAGTTTGAAAAGTCAATCTAAAAATGTGTACGTTTGGGTATTACCAATGTGTATAGCGGTATGCTTTTAAATTTTTATTTGTATATGATTAACATAATAAGTCAAATTATTTATAGAAGAAATGAATCTACTTTTATAACGCAATATTACACATATTTGTACATGATTTAGTTTAAACTTAAACATATATTTTTTTTTGCCGACCCTCTTTACAATTGAAATGTCATTATTATTATTTGTTATTAACACCATAAAAAAAGTGTAACTTTTATCATATGTCAGATATTTATCTCATGAATATAATTAGTTATCTCATCAATGAGATTTTCTATTTTACTTTATTTAAATTTTCGGAGTGTCACACCCTAAGTATCCCAAGCATTTGTGTCATCTCAAAAGGCCTTATACGGTCTTAAACAAGCCCCACGGGCTTGGTACTTGGCACTTTCGAGATTTTTGCTTCGCATGGGGTTTCAGCGTTCACACACGGACCATTCACTATTTATCTATCATCATGCGGATATTTTTATTTATTTCCTAGTCTATGTGGATGACATTGTGTTAACAGGTAGCTTCGACTCTGTGCTTGCTATGTTCATATCTCATCTCACCAAGGAATTTTCAGTCAAAGATTTGGGATCTCTTCATCATTTTCTTGGTATAGAAGTTATATCCACACCACATGGCTTACTATTATCTCAGCGTCAGTACATGATCAAAATTCTTGAGAGTCATGGCATGCTAGGCATCAAACCAGCGGCAACACCTATGCGCACTGGTCATGTAGGCACCAGTCACTCGGTGGAGGCTTTCCCAGACGTCACAACATATAGGCGAGCTCTGGGTCTTCTACAATATTTGTCGTTCACTAGGCCGGACATTTCATTTGCGGTAAACCGTCTTTCTCAGTACATGCATTGCCCATCACAGGATCATTGGACAGCAGTTAAACGCATCTTTCGTTACCTCAAAGGTACGTTGGACTTTGGCCTATATTTACACACGTCTCAAGGCCTCCAGCTTACTGCATTTTCTGATTCTGACTGGGGTGGTACGACTGATGATGGAAAATCCACTACTGCTTATGTTCTTTATCTCGGTCGTAATATTGTATCCTGGAAGTCTGCCAAGCAAAAGAGTGTATCATGTTCATCTACGGAGGCAGAATACCGTGCCGTAGCTAATGCTAGTGCTGAGATTCTCTGGTTCAAGAATGTGTTACGTGAGTTATGCATCACCCTTGGTCCCTAGACTCTACCGTGACAATCAGGGAGCTACCTATGTCTGTGTTAATCCGGTTTTTCACTCTCGGAGGAAACATCTTGCCTTGGATTTCTTCTTTGTCAGGGAAGTTATTCAGCGTGGTCACCTCTCTGTTTCTCATATCTCCAACAAACTTCAAATTGCAGACGTACTTACAAAACCACTGGGGCAGTCATTGTTTGAGCATTTTCGGTCCAAGCTTGGAGTTTCCAATGGAAACTCCATCTTGCGGGGGCGTATTACGGACTAATTATATTAATTCTTATTGTATTTATTTAATGTACTGGGTCTGGCCTGCTTGTATAGGTTTTGTGTAGTTTACCTAGATCAGGACTCTTGTATTATATATACCTCTTACTCATCAATAATAATATAACTTCTTAATACACATATCATCTAAAGACGGTTTACCTTTCCTATATGGGTACCAAACTAGAGTGATCGAGATTCTAAAGACCATCAACTTTTCTTCCCCAATTCTGTGACGCCCATTATTAGAGCTAAATCTAAAATGAATTTTTGTTCAACGTGTAAAATTAAAGAGAAAGAAGCATTACTAGTGAGAATTATTTCTGCTTAATGAAGTTAATTATCATAATGCAACAAATTAAAGCAACCATTTCTGATTTGTAGTATTCAATGTTGCATTTGTTACCAGGCCAGTTTACCACCACACCTATTCCGTATGAAAAATACTTTAAGCAATCAATATACATGTACTTCATGCAAACAAAACATAATAATAATCCTTCCATGTTCAACATTTACCCTCACTATTTTAGCACTATAGTACACTATACCTTCATTATGGAAGAGAATCACTACACAAATTATGTTATATCTTTGCCAATAGGAATAAACATATTAGGCTATGGTGCTATACAAAAATGGGTTAATTTTTATCAAACAGTAGGAATAGAAGAAATGTTAGGAATTGAATAGTAATGTCAAACTGTAATTCTCAAATTAAATTCTCGATCGATTCTCAAACCTGCAACATACACAATTCTAGATGTTAGGCCAATGGGAGAAATATATGCCTACTAAAGGCAATATTTGTCAAAAATGAATTAAAGGAATTTGGGGACTTTGGGTGGACATATTGGTTTGGCTTAACCGAATCGAACCGCACTAAATCGAACCAAAACTAGACCATATGCAATTTGGTTTGAGTTTGGTAGTATTTCTTCCAAAACATATTAAATCGAACCGAACCAAAATCGACAAAAACCAAACAAACACTACACTATATATGACCTATAACAACACAAATTTAAAGTGTTGCTTCAAAAATGTGGATGTTCATTAAAAGAAATTAGGCTAAGGCATCATTGGTTAAGAAATGTTGCCATAGATGTGTTTACAAGTGTTAAACATACTCTAATGCAACATCTATTTGACAAGTGTTGCAATTGATATGTTTATAAATGTTAAATATACTCTAATGCAACATTGTTTTGGCATATTAAGGATTTTTTTAATTAGATTGGATTCAGTTCAAACCAAACCAGATCAGATCAGTTAAAATTAGAAGCTTCTAGCATATTAAGGATTTTTTAAATTAGATTGGATTCAGTTCAAACAAATTAAACAAACTATATCAAACTTGAACTAAAGAAATTCAATAAAAAATTCATATATTATTAAAAAATAACAAATCCAAAGTGAACTAAGCCGAACCAAACCAAACCAAAAAATAATACGGTATGATTTTTGTTTGGTGATAATTCTTCCAACCCATTCCAAATCGAACCGAACCAAAACTGATAAAAACCGAGCCGAAAATCGATATGCCCACCCCTAAAAGGAACTATATAAGAACTTCATCAATAGTGAATGTGGTTACTTTTCCTTCTCAATAGTGCATATCATTAGTTCCCAACAACTAAAATCAGATTTACTCGGTTATTGTTCATCGTCTTCCTTCGGTGATTTTCAACAGCACTAGGATTCACCGCGTCAGGCCCCTCATGTGATAGTGCAATTTGAACATATGACCTACTTTAAAAAATGAAACACAAGCTCTTATCTCTGAAAACATATACAATTACGGATACATTTTCCATACTTTACATATTCTTTTTTTACCAATACTTTACATACTCCCTCCGTCCCCCAATTAAGATACCGGTTTGACTTCACACGTAATAAGAAAATAAATTTGACTTTACTGTGGAGCAGGGCCGGCCCAGACATATAGAAGGCCCTGTGCAAAATTGAAAATGAGGCCCTAAGTTTTTTTTATCATTATATAATCATTATTATATTATTACTTTCACCGTTTTTAAATAATAGTGTCCTTAGGTTTTTTGTGGGTTTTAAGATGAAAATAGTAGGCCCTAAAGGTAAATGAAAAGTAGAAAAGAGAATAAATTAAGAAAAGTAAAGTAATGACAAAGTATGAAAAAGAAAGTAGTTACAAGCTCGTTCCAAACTGTACGAGGGTTTTGTGCTAAATAATGTAATTAGGCCTTGTGAAATAAAGAAATCACACAATTGTAATTAACAATTGTACTTTAATTACATAAAAATATTACTATTTAATGTTTGTATTTAAAAAAAATAATAATATAGGAATTTTTAATCAAATAAATAAAGATTTATTATATTATATAGACTATATTTAAATTTTTGGGCCTTCTGAAATTGAGAGGCCTTGTGCGATTGCACTTCTTGCACGCCCTCATCTACGGCCCTGCTGTGGAGTGCACTGTTTTGCACTGTTCAAACACTGTTTGACACTGTTTGACACTGTTTTGATGTAGATAATTTGCCAAATAAGAAAAGTAAAGAAGTATGAACTTAATTTAGGGACTACCCAAAAAGAAAAGTGATATCTTAATTGAGGGGACGGAGGGAGTATTCTTTATTCTTGATTGCTAGCTAGAGATTAAGAGATATAATGGATCAACATAATCTTGATTGCTAGAGATGTAATGGATCAACATTATCTCATGGGTCTCCACATGCACTTGTCTGATATGAAGAACTAAAGCCCAAATCCTAACACGGCATTTCAAGATTTGCCAATTCAATTTTTTGTCTACACGTATAAAATTCTTTATGTTCCTAGATCGTACTATATTTTACCATCGACAAAAAAACAAAGTAGTAGTTAAAAACCAAATTGAAAAGGGATATTTCCTAAAATAGGACTAAATGAAGTTTGAAATCAAAATAAGATTACTTTGTTTTTATTCCCGAAATGGGACTAACATGACAGTATTTACTGTCATCTTGTAACCATGACTGTCAAATAGTTGCAGTACAATGCATTTAACATGATAATATTTATTATATTTAATGACAATATTTTTCAATCATGTCAGTATTTTTCATACATGACAAAAATAGTTCCTATTTCGGGAAGAAAAACATACTAATCCTATTTTTGGAATTTTAAGTGTCATTTGCTCTTATTTTGGATAATTTCCCAATTGAAAATGACCTAAACAATAATCTACGTAATATTGTACTGTAGTATCGTTTGCGCCTATAATTATTTAAAAGTTCAGAACATTTTGAATCATGTTTACACAGTTCACCTGGCTTAAGCTCCCATAATTACACAATTCCCTAGACAGTTAAATCCGAATCTGATTAGAATACTAACTTATATCACCTTAATTATGGTCCTCCCCTTACCCATTCATGGAGTCGGTTAGCCTGCTCCTCCGTTAGCCTGCTCCTCCCACGGCACTAACCCCTGCATTCGTTATGGTCCTCCCCCTTCTCCCCTGCTGAGCACCAGCCAGACCTCCCTTGACTACACCCGCCTTACAGGAGTTCACTTCTTTTGATTTACCAGTCTCCTGCAGTTTCGAGTTCAATTCGTTTGAAACAAAACCCTTTCATCTCACTTCTCTTGCTCATGGGAAGCAAGGACATTTTTTCAGAGCATCCACCTTTCTGCCAGGCAGTTTTTTCTTGAAAGATTTGTACTCTCAATCTCTCTGTCAATCGTCACGGTGGTTCTTCCCAGCCCCACGATGCTTCTCTGTGCATATCAGTTGTTATTGTTTCAGATCTGGTTACTGCTCGGTTTTCTGTTCCAGATACTTGCCATTTATTGAAGCTCATTCTTGGTGGGTTTTTTCTATCATTATTGTATGTTTTAACCTAAATTTCATGCCCTTATATTTGATTTGTCTTCAAGTTATTGTCAATAAAGATTCATTTTTATTATATTTACCAAATTTATAGAGAAAGTTTGAGGGATTTCAGTTGGGAATTTTATTAATTTACTGGTTTTGAAGCAGCAGCTGATATATTTTCATTGGAGAAGAAAGTTAGGAAGGTGGAGGTAAAAGGGGATAGAGTCATGAAAGTTCAAGGCTTGGGGATTTCAGGCCTAGTTATTTCCTTAGTGTTTCTTTGCTTCTCCATGAATGGGGAGGCTCAGACAAAAGCCTTTTACATAAACTGTGGTACAAATTCCAGTTTAACTATTGGTGGTAAAAAATGGGTAGGTGACTCAGCCCCAGGAAACAATTTAACCCTCAGTTCTCCTAGTATTGAGGCCTCCACTTCCTTGATCAATGGAAACAATCTCGATTATGCACCACTCTACAGAACTGCCAGATTTTTTTCTGGAAGCCTTAACTACACATTCCAAGCGCTGCCCAGAAATTTTTTCCTCAGACTCCATTTCTGTCCCTTTGAATTTCAGAACTACAATTTGAATGAGTCTTACTTTACTGTCAAGGCGAACGGATTGAGATTAGTCTCCAAGTTCAATGTTCCCAAAGAAATATCAGAGAAGAATTCATACAATCCAGGCAGGAGCAATTCTAGCTTTGTGTCCTTAGAAAAGGAGTACTTCATCCCTGTGGAGACCGATGTTTTTGTACTTGGATTCATCCCGGATAAAGGGTCATTTGGGTTCATTAATGCCATTGAGATTGTTCCGGTTGTTGATAGGCTTTTCATTGACATTGTTAACAATGTCGGTAAGACTGGTGGGAAGTCGTATTTGAACTTGAGCAAACAAGGAATTGAGACTATGTATCGGTTGAACATTGGTGGTTCAATGATCAAACCCATTCAAGATTCAGTCTTTGGGAGGTCGTGGGAAGAAGATTCAATCTTCATGATCAATCCAGACACTGGATCAGAAGCCAAGAACAGATCTAACATCACTTATGCCTCCCCGAATGACACATCCATAGCCCCCCTTCTTGTCTATGAAACAGCAAGAACCATGACCAACACCGAAGTCATGGAGAAGAGGTTCAACATGTCATGGAAATTTGAAGTGGACCCTGATTTCGAGTATTTGATCCGTTTACACTTCTGTGAGCTAGCGTATGATAAGCCGAGCCAGCGCATCTTCAAAATCTACATAAACAACAAAACAGCAGCAGACAAAGTTGATGTTTTCACACGAGCAGGAGGAAAGAACAAGGCATACCATGAGGATTACTTTGACATGGTGCCCTCAAAAAGCAACAGTCTTTGGGTGCAGTTAGGTCCAGACACATTGGAAGGTTCCCCAGATACAGATGCTCTATTGAACGGGTTGGAGATATTCAAGCTGAGTCACAATGACAACCTTGCCCATATTGAGAATTATGGGGATCTAGAAGCAAAAAAACACTCCAAAACTACAATCCTTTGGTTGGCGATTGGAATTGGGACAGTGTCTATTATGGTTCTTGCTGGAATTGCTTCGGTGGTCGCCTGTCTTTGTAAAAAGCAGAGAAGCAAAGAAGGAGATGCGTCCAAGAAACTAGGATGGAGTCCTTTATTCCTTCATAAATCTATAGTGAGCAGCAATGGGAATGTAAAAGGATCAAATTCTTTGTCCATTGGAAACTTAAGATCGGGGAGGCGGTTTATGCTAACAGATATCAAAGAAGCAACAAACAACTTTGACGAGAGTTTGGTGATCGGAGTGGGTGGGTTCGGAAAGGTATACAAAGGGTATATAGATGATGGAATCTTAGCAGCAATCAAACGGTCCAACCCACAATCTCAGCAAGGTCTAACGGAATTTGAAACAGAGATCGAACTCCTCTCAAAGCTAAGGCATAGGCATTTGGTGTCCCTTATAGGGTTCTGTGATGAAGAAAACGAGATGATATTGGTGTACGATTATATGTCTAATGGGACCCTCAGGAGTCATCTGTTTGGTAGTGACCTGCCACCTCTAAGCATGAAAAAAAGACTAGAAATCTGCATAGGCGCAGCTAGAGGGCTGCATTATCTCCATACTGGATCAGAACGTGGAATCATTCATAGGGATGTTAAGACAACCAACATACTGTTGGATGAAGAGTTTGAGGCCAAAATGGCCGATTTTGGGCTCTCCAAAACGGGTCCTGCTTTGGATCATACACATGTCAGCACGGCAGTGAAGGGAAGTTTTGGGTACCTGGATCCTGAGTATTTCAGGCGGCAGCAGCTTACGGAGAAGTCCGATGTTTACTCATTTGGAGTTGTTTTATTCGAAGTTGCCTGTGCAAGAGCTGTGATAAATCCAAGCTTACCCAAAGATCAGATCAATCTTGCAGAATGGGCAATGAGGTGGCAAAGGCAAAGGTCACTGGAATCCATCATTGACCCACAGCTCAAGGGGAAGTATTCTCCGAAATCACTGGTGATGTTTGGTGAGGTTGCTGAGAAATGCCTTGCGGATGAAGGGAAATCCAGACCGACAATGGGTGAGGTTTTATGGCACTTGGAATCCGTCCTGCAACTTCAAGAGTCTTGGCTGCAGTCTAATGATCATGGGGAGAAAGATGAAGAACCTGAGAATATAAAAAATGATAGTACTATGAGCCAAGACACTACTTGTTTGGACAAGTCAACAAACACGGCGGGTTAATCTTGTTATATCGCCGTTCAGGCTGGAAAAAAATCAAACTTGATGCATTAGGGAGCTTGGACATTGAAAAGGTTGGGACTATGATTGAATGAAGGCATTTTCGTCTCATTGATTATTTTTTTTATTTCTGTAGTTTAGTCATTGTGTTTGCCTCTTCGATTCTTTTATTCTTTTATCTACTTTATTATGTTCATGGGATGAGAGATTGGTAATTTGATCATCTAAGGTTCCACTGATTGAAGAAGTAAAAAAAAACAATTATGGGTATTACGTAGACTTGGTGCATTTGAATGCGATCACCCATTATTTAATCATGATATATACGGTAATTAATCGCATCAATTTTCTTTTGCTTTTTTCATTTTAAACTACGAGTATTAGATCTCAACTTTTACGGAAATTGTCCTAAATAGGAGTAAAAATGTTTAAAGAATCCAAAATAGGATTGTCATGCTTTTGTTTTAAGTGGATTCTCCTGAAGTTTTAACTCATTCTTAGTACATTAAGTTTAGTTTTAAGATATCTATGGACTTTTTCTTTTATTTTATACTCGTCACAAGTATGCATAGATGCAGTTCCAGAATCGGACTAGATTTGACTAAGTATTTACTCGAGTTCACAAACCGTCCAATCGGTCCTCGACTAGTATCGAGTTGGGAGTAGGTAACAGGACAATCTCGATGTGCAAGCTTTGAATATTAAATTCAGAATTTTTAATCATTTTTTTTTTGAATTTTTAATCATTTTACAATAAATAAAATTTAACAAGGTGATTCTACATCAATACTTATACACAACATTAACTAAAAAAATGATTTTTTTATATCATCTCACGAAGAAAAATGCAGGGTTGAGATTGGTTCGATTCTTCGATAGAAAAATTGAAACCATTTGAAAAACCGTTAATCCAATATCGATTTGGCTCTATATTCTTATTGAACAACCGATGTATATAAGAATCAATAGTATCATATTGGTGTAATTCTTGTATGTTCTCAGTTAACCGTTAGAAATATATATATATATATATATATATATATATATATGTGTGTGTGTGTGTGTGTGTGTGTGTGTATAGTAGTATTCTTGTCCGGTCTGGAGGGTGGTCCGGCCACCTCAATTTGAGGTGGTTCCCGGTGGTATGTTCCTTATCAAGTCATCTAGTTCATCCATACCAAATTTGAGCGAAAAATTAATCGGGAAGGTCGTCAAATTATTTTTGCATGATAATTGCTCCGGAGTATACATATAAAACACAGTCAACTTTCAAAAATCATTTGATGATCTTCCCGATTGAATTTTTTTGCTCAAATTTGGTAGGGATGAACTAGACTTGATGAGGAACATACACAAAAGATTTCTGCAAATAATACCACAGGGAACCACCTCAATTTGAGGTGGCCAGACGAGCTCCTATCCGGCCTGGCCGGGCAGGAATAATTGTGTGTGTGTGTGTGTGTGTGTGTGTGTGTGTGTATGAGTTCAAATAAAAAGGAGTCTTAACATGCAAAATAAAAATTAATCTGAGACGTCCAAATTTTCAATCTGATGCACAACAATCATTATCTAACGCACTTTCCATTAAACCTTATCAAATAGAACTAAACCGAATCGAAATCGAACCATATGCAATTTGATTTGAGTTTGGTAGTATTTATTCTAAACTATATTAAATCGAACCAAACCAGATCGATAAAAACCTAACAAAATCGAACTAAACTAAAGAAATTCAATAATGCCTTGATATTTTATTAAATAAACTAGGGGAGTTTGGTGGCTAGTGAAGCTGGACCTTTTATTTGTAATTTTTTATTTTTCTTTGATACTACTAGAATTTATGTCATTTGATTCTCCCTATTTGATGCGGTTATCTTTGAACTGCAGCAATTAACTTGAAAATACATCGGTATTTTCTGCTGTCACAAAAGACCAGTAGAATTTAGAGCAAAATTTTGAAGGTATTTGCTACGCTCTTGCGGAACCGCAGCAATTTCTTTTTAAAACATTAATTTTATACACATTAGCTGCGGGCTTCCGGCAACCGCAGCAATAAGGACAAAAATATTAGACCTACGCGTAGCCACAGATCTTCCGGATACACATTCGCTCCAGTTGAAATCCCTTGCGCAGCAGATCCGCCGGCCTCCTCCCATCACTCCATCAGCTACCTCTTTCAATCGCAAGCCACCGCCGTCTCCGTCCATCAGCAGCCTCCGCCTCCTCCAACAGGTTGCCGCCTCATCCATCCGCTAGCCGCCTGCTTCGCCCCTCTCAGCAGCGCACGGACTGTCAACGCCGCACTCCGCCGCACTCCGCCTCCCCCCTCCCAGTACAGCCGCTGTAATAGCCTCCTCCTCTGCCATATTTTCTTAATAGAGGTTTGGTTTCTAACCTTTTGTCATTTCATTTAATTTATTGAATTTTATCATTTTTTAGATTAATATTACTATGAGTTTAATGGTAGAAATGATGTTTATGTTTATTTATTTATATGAACATGATGAGTATATATTTTTCAAGTTATTGTGTATAAATTTGTGATTAAGCTAATAAAAGTAAACATTTTTATAATATTATTATTTACTTAATAGAGATTTAGTTTGTAATCATTTGTCACTTAATTCAATTTGTTCAATTTATATGAAATTGATTGATGAGTAGGTATATAAATGTAAACATCCTTATTGTAAAGGTGGCTGATGATTACGGAGACAAACTCTCGGGTGAACGTTTATGATTGTATGAAGTTGTTGAGTATACTTTTTGTAGTTATTGTGTGTGAGAGGTTATGATTAAATAAATAATCTTAATTTCACTTATTCTAATTAGTAGTTTATTTTGCTATTAAAACGGAATGAACCATTCTTATATTCATATGTACTCTTAAATTGGATGGTGATGCTTTTTAATCTTGGGGATGCCAGTGGATGACTGTTAGTTTCATGACAACATTTGGGAGTCATCTTCTCATTGGTAGAAATGACCAGTGTCTCTCTAAGCAGGTATGTTTTTTAAAGTCAAATGCTCATTGCTCAACAACATAGCTGTCACAACTCAGAATCCTATATTAACTAAGCCCTATTTTCTGCATAGGTTTTCAAACTGCCCAAATCTAAAGGAAATCTCATTAGATTTTTTTATGAAGGAGAGCATCAAACCTGCAGGTTAAGTTTTATACTAGTATTTACTTTGTCGGGGTTTCCCATTTGTTGATTTCGAATTGAAAAAACACATAATGATTGTTTGAGATCTTCATTTAATTATTCCTTCTTTAGAAGGTTGTGATACAAAGTCCACCTGACTTAATATCTTTTACAGATTATAGCTAGCTAAATGACACTAACTTCCATGCCATCAACCCAAGTGTATTTGGGATTGAGGTGGTGGTGGAGACGTAGGTTATACAAAAAGCATTCATAATTGGTATTTCTAGAGTTCAAGTTTGAAGGAACTGTTTGGTCAAATGCCACTTGGTCAAAACTAAAGCACAAGGGGTTTTTCCATGTTAACTGCAAGTTGAACTTTGTGCTTTTACCAAAATATAAAATGCTGAATTGTTCTCTTGTCTATACAAATAGGTAGGTAGAGTCTTTCTTTAGATTAAGAGACTACTACTGAAATCTTTTTTGGTTAATATTATTGTATGTCTCTCATTATAATTCTGGACTTGATTAAAGCAAGTATTGTCAAATAGTTAAAGCGGTTATGGGTTCATCTGCGAACTCCCCTTTTAGAGATGAAGAGCTCTAAACTTATTGTTATGCTTATAAGAATGCTGCAAGCCAATTAAAGAAATGCATACATTAATGGAGTGGAATCAAGTGACCCCTTTGCTAAAATACTTTTTTGGCCTTCAAACACTGTACAATGTGGCAAGAGGTGTTTTCACATCACTACAAAATAATGCCAGAAAATGAAAGATATGATGGAGCTCAGTAATGAAAAATACCAAACTTCCAGTAAAATAAATCATGTAAAATACTTTCAACATTTCAAAGGTCCATTTGTTAATCACCATTACGTGTCCCGCATATCTCGACTCGAGATGTGAAATACCGATATGTCAGAAAGATCATTAAATTGTTCAGTTTTCCTTAAGTAATGCACCTCTAGTAGGCATTCATGTGGTGAATTGCCTTTTGGTGCAACTCTTTCGGTGTAACTCTTTCGTGTCACAAGTCTGAGCTAAGTTCGCAATGTTGATTAGATGAGTGCTTACCATGACTGTTAGAACTTTTTCATGTCGTTCTTAAATTCATTATGGGTCTAATGTTGATCTTAATCTTTTACAAATAAAGATCAAGTGATTGAACATTAATGATGATGTCAAATATGATATATAAATATTAGAGTATATATTATCGTCATCATCATATATATTATTAGAGTATATTTTTGGTTATAACATGAGATATCAAATATGATATATAAATATATTATTTAAAATGATAATTGGTCATCATTCCATTGAATAAAGCATGAAAACCTTTTGAAATTATTCCATTCTCCTTTCCACCCCAATCCCCATCTGAATCAAATAAAGGGTGAAGGAAATGAATGCTATAAGCTTCATAAAGTTTCTTCTTTACTTATTAAAAGACATGGAGTTCAAAACCAAATTTAATGTTCAATCACTTGATCTTTATTTGTAAAAGATTAAGATCAACATTAGACCATAATGAATTTAAGAACGACATGAAAAAGTTCTAACAGTCATGGTAAGCACTCATCTAATCAACATTGCGAACTTAGCTCAGACTTGTGACACGAAAGAGTTACACCAAAAGGCAATTCACCACATGAATGCCTACTAGAGGTGCATTACTTAAGGAAAACTGAACAATTTAATGATCTTTCTGACATATCGGTATTTCACATCTCGAGTCGAGATATGCGGGACACGTAATGGTGATTAACAAATGGGCCTTTGAAATGTTGAAAGTATTTTACATGATTTATTTTACTGGAAGTTTGGTATTTTTCATTACCGAGCTCCATATCTTTCATTTTCTGGCATTATTTTGTAGTGATGTGAAAACACATCTTGCGACACCGTACAGTGTTTGAAGGCCAAAAAAGTATTTTAGCAAAGGGCTCACTTGATTCCACTCCATTAATGTATGCATTTCTTTAATTGGCTTGCAGCATTCTTATAAATCAAATCCTTTGAGGTCTATATCATGGAGAAATGGTAAAAGATTGACACAAACTGTGGCAACTGTACATTATGTTGGTAAAGTTACCTCATTGAAATGCAAAGCCCTGACTAGGTAAATCTTTATCATATTCAGAATTCAGTTTTGCTTTTTTTATATACTATTCAGCTCTGACTTACAAGATATAGATATAAGTGGTAGTTTACTTTAATGTGTCACTATCGTATAGGGTTTTTGATGTGTGGGAACGTCAAGAGCCCTGAGTTATGTCAATATATGTTAGCAACTGATTGCAGACATGATAAATAAGCGACATGACATCTGTCCACGATCTTATGTGATTATTGATCAATTAAAAGTTAAACAATCTGGGCAGCGAAATATGATTTTTGGACTTGAAAGTTGAAACTGAAATAGACTTTGAGAAGTTCTTTTTTGTTCTAGTGATTTTGATTTTTCTTCCTTTTTCTGCCCTATAAACTCATCTTGTGCGGTTATCCTTCTCTGCAATACATGTAATTTATAGTGATACTCCCTTAGTCCCCCAGACCCCCAGATTAATCTACTTGTTTTCCTTTTCGGTCCATTACACTCCTTGTTTAAAGGTGTTTGGTTAGTTTTTTTTTCTCGTTTTTAAGTGAATCTCATCCACAAAGTTATGCTTTCTTGATAATGTTCTAAATCAAAACGGGGAGATTAGTTTCAGACAGAGGTTGTTTAGTGATTCCAAAGTAAGGAATAGCCCCCACCATTAAGAAGTACTATCCCCATCTAAAAAACAGGATTATTATTTTGACTAAGGTATGCGTTTTTTATTTTATTACAGTACAAGTGATGTAAATCATTAATCCACATATGTTTTTGTATAATTTGAAAATTTATTTACTTGGTTTTACTAAATTTGTCATAGCAGAGAACATTTTCTTCACATGATAATGAATAAAGTAAGACCTACATTATGGGCGTGTAATTTTAGTGGTCAATCTTATTTGCAGTGGAGGAGCTCCTCTAGTCTCTAAGCAGAAAGTATTTAAGATCTTAGCTTTTAAAAGCAGTAGCCAAAATGACTCTGGATGCAGTAGATTCAATGCCATGAAGAAATCTGTGAATAAGCTTTCTTATGGAGCCCATGGGAGTGAGGTAACCTCAGTGGAGTCTTTTAGGGCACAGAATCTTCCTGTTTCATACCCTTCTGGAATAGTTGAGACAACAATAGATGACACTCTGGCTATACAGAAACCTCTCAAACACTGGCTGTCAATATTGCGTACAACACCATCATCAGACCAAGCAATCAGTGAAATTGTTGAAGGACAATCTTCAACACAAGCAGTTGAAGCCCAAAAGCTGGTCCAACAGAAGACGAAAAGAAGAAGTATTTTACAAGCAGTTTGGAGCTATTTTATAGGCCTGCATGCAACAATAAAGATAGGTTTATTGATCTTGTAAGTATGGTTGGGTCAAGTTTGGGTGGTTGAGCATACAAGGCATCACCTTGCTAAACCCTTTACATGTCTTGAGACTTGATATTTGCATCTTAAGTGATGAAAATGACTAAAGTGAAATGATGTTTTTTTAAAGGGCAGCCTGGTGCACATTGATGACCCCTCAAGGCGAGAGTACGGGAAAGGGTCCAACCACAAGGGTGTATATGGGGCAAGCCTTCCCATGTCATTTTGACAAGAAGCCGCTCCCAAAATTTAAACCTGTGACCACTTGGTCACACAGCAACACCGTAACTGCTGCACCAAGGCTCCCCTTTAAAAAAACTTCAAATAAATAAATAAACACAAACTCCGTATGGAAATTGTTATTAGAGTAAAAATTTATGATCGGTATATATGCATTTTGCAGTATGCCCTTTTATCTGGCTGTTACCTCAGCTTATGGAGCCGAAATTTCAAAAGAGTTGATGCCATTATGGATTTTTGGACCATTTATCATTTCTTTGTATATCAAGATGATCCGAGCCATCTCTGCACTTTATGTGTTTTGTTTCGCTCAGACAGTAAAAGTTGTAAAGAATCTTCCGACATGCTACTCATTAGCTCGTGAATACATTTTTCATGGGAAGCTCAAGGAAGAAATCAGAGTACGCTTATTGCAGCCCGTGGTCAGTATTAAGAACACAGACTACAGAAAGGTGGTAAGGAGTAGGTTGAACGATATGAAGGTCATTTTGGCAGAGAAGTATCTCGACTTCACAGAATTAATATGGCCGTTTTACTGCAGAATGATCCGGCTTTTGAAGCGGGCAAACCTTATCTAGACTTGGTGAGTTTGATGTTGACGATAAAGAGGTATGAATGTTGAGGGATATTTTATTTCACTTTTTTGTCTGTTTTTTGTAATGTCAGGAATTAAAGTTTCAGTTAGTTGGTTAGTTATGGTGTATTCATTCATCAGATTCTGATTAAGCTTAGGGGGCTGACAGTGAAGCTTCTTGTTGTACTAACCGTCAAAAGCTCCAACAGTTGATCACTAGTTGTTTTCGGTTTCATGATTTTTCCAAAATTTATTTAGGTGTTGGGAGAGCCAAACTCTTCATTGTTTGTTTGTGTGTGATGCATGGATTCTTCTCATCAAATTAGTACCATGTTTGATACTTCCACCTGCATCCTGTTCTAATTCAACAAGTGTAGGGTATTTTTTTTGCTACATATGCGTGGGTCATGGATAGGGGTGGACTCGGGCCGGGCCAACCGGCCCGGAACCAGACCGGCCCGCCACTGTGCGGGCCCGGCCCGGCCCGGTGAACCGGTTGGTTGGCCGGTTCGGGCCACCTGGCCCGGTGGATTCTCGGTTCGGGCCCTTCAAAAGGTGAACCGGCCCGGCCGGTTCGGGCCCGGGCCGGGCCAATTTTAATTTTTTTTTTGATTTTTTTTTTGAGTTTTTGGGTTGGGCTGGGTATTTTGGGCCATTTGAGGTGGTTAGGGTTGGTTTGGGGGTAAGGGGGAGGGGTGGGGGTTAACTAGGAAAAGCCCAAAAAAAAATATATACCCGAGGCCCGGCCCGGACCCGGGGGTTACTCGGGCCGGTTCCGGGCCTCCCATACCTTGAAACGAGGCCCGGCCGGTTCAAGGCCCGAACCGAGTCCATCCCTAGTCATGGATGTCACATATCAATCTACACAAATAATGTAGTGGGAAATTGTACACTACACCCCCTCATTTCTAAACATTGTTTGCCGACTTTTCAATTTTCACTTTTGGCGTGTGAATATGGATTTTTAAGACTTCATTATGATTTGTGTAATTTGAAGTTGGATCAAAAGATGAAAATGAGAGAAGATACATGGGGGGGGGGGGGGGGGGGGGGGGTCAAAAGCACAAAGACTCACGTAAGATGAATTCATCTTTTTATTTTTAGTTTTGGCAAACGTTTCTCACTTTCTTGGGTTGTGAACTAACTTCTTCCTAATGGCCACCTTTGAGTTTCTTGGGGTTGTGAACTAACTTCTTTCTGATGGCCACCTTTGCTCACCCTTGAATGAATAATGATACGGGCTAGAGTAAAAGGTTCATTAATTTATTTAACAATGAGTTTGGTGCACGTTGTGGTATGGCTAGGCAACCAGGTCTGGCGGTCTCGACCAGACTGGAGCAAAAGACCATCTTGCCCTTTCTCCCCTTTTTCCTGAAAATGTTCTTTTACGAAAAGTTGATTTTCTCGAAAAAATTGCATAACTTTTGATTGCCTTAACCAAATTAGATGATCCAAAATGTTGTGGGTTCATATTAGGGATGGATTCGGGCCGGGTCGGGCCCGGTCGGGCCGCCGGTTCAAGAACAGTGGGCCCGGGACCGGCCCGAGGGTTGGACGGGTCCGGTTCGGGCCGGGCCACCCGCCCGGGTCACGGGTCCGGTTCGGGCCGGGCCGGTTAATTTTTTTTTTTAATTTATATTTTATATTTTATAGTTTATAGTTTGATACGAGTATTAAAAACAAACTTCAATTGCATTTATTTGAAATGAAATAGGAACTACATTTGAAAATTAAAACAAACTTTAAGAGATAAACATTTTGAAAATTGTAATCAATCGGAACTTCCCGCACCTCCCGATCCTTTGGCTTTGTCACATGACTTCATATGCTTGATTGCCATCCCGAATCCGCCTGAAGCCCCCATAATACATTTTTTTTCGCACCATTTACAAATTGCGTACCACATCCCGGTCTTCGGGTCCTTCTGCTTATCAAAATTATACCGTATAATGGCATTTTGATTTTCCATCTTAACTTCTTGGAGAAGAGAATTAGAGAGTAGATATATAATATATTGGAGAATAAGAGAATTAGAGAGTAGAGAGTTAAGAATAGGATTTAGGAAGAATTGGAGAAGAGATATGAAAAAATGTTTAAGATTAGGAGTATTTATAGGTTTTTTTACCCCCCACCCCCCCCCACCACCCCCCCCCCACCACCCAACCCCCCGGACCCCCCTATAACCCACCCAACGGCTATATAGCCGTTTGGGTTGTCCCCAGCCCCACCCCCAACGGCTAGTAGGAGCCCAACCCAAATTTTTTTTTTTTAAATTTGATCGAACCGGACCCGGGCCCGACCCGGCCGGGCCGGGTCACTAAATTGCTGAACCGAGCCCGCCCCGCCCCTTCCCCCCGGTTCGGGCCCAGACCCGGTCCCGGACCGCCCGACCGGGCCGGTCCCGGGCCCGCACAGTACCGGGCCGGGCCGGGTCACGGGCCGGGTGGCCCGAACCGAATCCATCCCTAGTTCATATCTTATCAAGGAATTATAGCCGTTGGAATGACTATATAGTCATTGGGATTTGGGGGTGGGGTTTGGGACTCTGGGGGGTGGGGACCGGGACTGGCTTAGTACCTTGGACCAGACTGGTACTTGTAATAATTGAGTCAATTCTAGGCTTCACTAAGTAGGAACCCGGTTGGTCTGGTCCGAGACTAGACCCGGGATCGAGTTCATCCCTATCTTGAGTCTTGAGCAACGATTTTTTTATTAAGATACATGGGAATGGAATGATTTGGGAGAAGAAAAGCGCACAGGGAAGATAAAAAAGCTGCTTACTTTAATCCAATAGGATTTCAATTTGTGAGAAGTCACTTTTTCAAAACTTCATGCATGATGCGTCAAAGGTCAACGTAACAATTTGTTGTTCGAAAACTAAGTTTGATCAATTGCATGTAAAGTGTGTTCGAGTTGTACGAGTTCAAAACCGAAAATGGAATATTGCTTTTGAAAAGTGACAAGATTTAGCTTTTGCAAAACTGACTAAGAATTTTCTTTGTTACTTGAGAATCGATTTTGAAAAGTGACTAGATTTTGGGGGTGTTTGGATCTGATTCTCAAAACTGATTCTGCTCCTTCAAGGAGCAGAAGGAGAAGCTTGAGTGTTTGGGCTCATTCCAGAAGCACGTCTGGTGCTCTAATTTACTCTCAGAATCAGTTTTTTTAGAAACTGAGGGGTACCAGCTTCAGAAAACTGATTCTGATTCTGCTTCTGCTTTAAAAAAGAAGCAGAATTAGAATCAGTTCCAAACACCCCTTTAGCTTTTACTAAACTAGATCCAAACAGGAGTTCCATAAACGATTTTCGTTTTCTTTTCAATCTATTCCCATATTGTACAATGCCCATTGGATTTCTAGTTAGAAACTGAAATGCAACATGTTTCGTAATGATAATAGCAACCCATGTTGCAGAAAACACTCATAAATATTCATCAGATGCACAGTATTACAATACACAGCTGAAAGTGCTGAGGACACAAACACAGCCAGGGGCTATTCAACAGGAACACGAATCCACAAACTGATTCCAAGAAGCAGCGAACTACTGAAGAACCAGTCATCAAAAGAGTGATAAAAAAAAGCTAAACCAGGCCAGCCCACAGACAATCTTTTCGAACATTCTTGCCCTCAAAGAGGATATGCATGAGATCATTGGGAGGGTTCAAACCAAGTTTCTTGGCCCGCTCCCATCGCTCCAGTCTGCTCATTCCAAGGCATGGTCCATACACCATGTTCATGTCAAATTGCCTCAACACACTCTCATTCTCATCATGCTCACCTGGCCACAAATGAAAAATCACATAATGAGACATTCACAGTTTACTTATATCAGTATAATGCATGTTAAAAAAGCAATTTCTAATAAATTTGAAGATAACGATAGACACTTCAAAGAATACCATATGAAATCAAAGTTATAATTTTTATCTGTGAAGTCCTCCTACCTAGCCCATTTCAGTAGGGTGACTTTGACAGTTGGTTTTTGGGAGGAAGGAAAAGACTTGTGAGGGTTTTGAACCCTCCTATTTGTGTTTGGGAGTATAAAAAACGTGGAGGAATGGTTTTGGAAGGCTCTTGTGACACTCCAAAAACACTCAAATGCTCAATTTTTAAGAGCATCTAAAAATGGGGATTTTGAAGGATAACTTATAGATCATAATTTAAGCTAAATTTAAAATGAATATTAGTTCAACTATCTCAAAGGTGATTTTGGTTATTATTTTTTCTAACTCTCTTTTTCCCAATAAGAAGAGTTTCCTCACTTTCCACTCGTTCCCTTCCAAGTTCCAACAACTTACCTTCAAAACTTTTCTCTCCCCTTCCTTCCGAACTCCCAAACATACCTTAGGGTTTCCCTTAACAAGTGTATATGCGTGAATTTGAAAGAAGAATAGGCGATTAATTGTACAAATTATAATTTTCTTACGAGAGGAGTAAGCAGATATTCATATGGAGAGAGGTACCTTGTAAAACCGGGGAGCCCTGGGAGACGCTAGCCGGCGTTTGAGGGCTGTCAATGGCAAAGGTGGGGGAGTTCTTTGGCGTGGAGGATGCAGACTTTGACTTCGTCTTTGACTTTGAGATGCCAGTCGATTTCTGCTGCTTGTAGAAACCCTTGATGTTCGATTTTGTCGCCATTTCCGTTCTGCGCTTCTTCTCTGCTCTGAGTTCAAATTTTGAATTTTTTGCTACAAGAGTCGAAGTGTTTATTACATACGACGACGTCTACTAATAGACAGAACTTATTAGGCCAAAAGGCGTCTTGGGTACTCGGGCTTGTACCTATGAAAGATAAACCCAATAGAAATTAGTTCAAATAGGACTAAAACTATGGCAAAAACCTAAAATAGGACTTACTATGTTTTTATTCCAAAATAGGACCATATGAGTCCTATTGGAAACATACCTATTTTTGCATTCCATTCTTACACTTCCATTAAATATGAATTCAAAATAGTCAAAAGCCATAATTAAATGTTTAATTCATAATAAATTCGAAAAAAATTCAAAAATTCGTAGAAATATAATTAAAAAATTTATAAAATTTTTATAAAATAAAAAATTCAAAAACTTTTTTTTTAAAAATAATTTTATTTTAAAAAAAATTAATAAAAAATAGTAAAACTCCGTAAAAGAAATTTTAAAAAATATGGATGCCTTTCCCACCGCATGTACTACCTCCCAGCACCACCACCTCCGGCCTATGAAAAAAATGCCATTTTCCCAGAAAAATGCCTTTTTTTTTTCTGAAAATGCCATTTTCCCAGAAAAATGCCTTTTTTTTTCTGAAAATGCCAAAAAAGTGGCATATTTCTCTTTTCGAATGACAACATTTTCATTTTTTCTGCC